AAAAAAAACCACTCAATTTAATCTTCTCATATATTTCGAAATTTACCCTTATTTAATAAATAATCTAAACAATCCTAATTCGGTTTGTACTCCTATTTTATATAGAGAATAAAATTTTGAACCAAATTCGAAAAGTACTCCAGTTTTATATCTAGATAAAATCTTCAGTGATATGTACAGATAAATATTATCTCAAACATGGAATGCATAATCTTGAACCAAATTAATAGATGATATCTATAAACATATATTACTACAAATTAGTAGAGTCCTATATGTACCATTTATTCATCGGTTCTCTAATTAGTGCAGAGAAACAAAATACACAGAATGACATTCTTTTGTTTTTAAACACAGAAAAAAATGGTACCAAGGTTTGAAACACTCCAGGCAGTAAATAGGGCCAACATACCATATTTGAAATTGAGAATAGTACTAATTGTTGAGACCCAATACGACTTGGAGAGCAGGAATTTCATTGAGATCATCTTTCATGATCAAGTGGTAATATTTTCAATTGTTATTTAAAAATTAAATTATTACGTAAATTAATTTGTTTAAATTTATATTGTAGGGTGCACAAATACTGGTATGATACGTTCTGCGCATATAAGTTTATTTCGAGATGTTTTTAAACAATGTGAGGTGTATCTGATGAACAACTATGTACTTGGTAACACAAAACTTCCTGACCGGCTGGAACTTGAATAATCGCTTTCCTTCTCGCCGGTTGAACGTCGTGCACCTACAAAGAACTCTCACACCGGAGGGGTTTTCCGGTGAAGAGCCTCCGAAGCTTAAGTCAGTGTATGTTCAATCAATTCTCNNAAGTCAGTGTGTATTCAATCAATTCTCAAGAGTAATAGAATGATCGTGTTGAAGAAGAAAGGCTCACCCCCTTTATATAGAGGTGAGATACCTGACCTAGGGCTGCCCGGTTTTGATGAGCTGTCTGCCCTAGCTGCCCGTCCGTACGCACCAAACGCGTGTGTCAGAGGTAGCCGTCGCCACTATCGCCTGCACCAATCTCCTTTGGACGCGTGTCCTCCTGCACATGGGATATGCTGTCAGAGGCGGTTATTGCTATCCACCACTACTTTCTCGACACGTGTCCCCCTGCACATGGGGTAAATATTCTCCTGGAATTCTGTCAGAGACTTCCTTCACGCGCCTGTGACTAGGCCGAACAGCGTGGTGTTAAGTCCTCGAAATAATCGACCTGATGAGATCGAATAAATTGCTCGATCGCGTATCTGGTCGAAGGATAGTTCAGTCGACAACCTTACTTGGTCGACTGGTTAATTGCTCGATTCCTTTGGCTTCCTCATAATATGACCTCCTCGACCGGTCAGCAGACCGGTTCAGCCTTGTGGGTATAATATCCCATATCATGTGTCATGTGTTTTGTTTTCTCTCCCTTGGGGAGCGTGTTATTCTCTTGTGGGGAGTTTGTGTTATTCTCCTTTGGGGAGTTTGTGTATTCTCCTGTGGGGAGTTTTTATTTTTCTTTTAGTTTTCTTTCTCGTCTTGTTGCGTGTGTTGTGGATTCTAGGCTGCCTAGTGTAGTCCTCCTATTCCGACTCTCCAGTCGGCTGTAATTATGTGTTTTAGTTAATGAATCTATCGTTTCGAAAAAAAATAAAAACAATGCTAATAACCTGAAAATTAAGAATTGATATGAAAAGACGTAGTATATTTATTAACTAAATGAGGAAAATAATGGAAAAATATGTACAAAACATCCAAAACGTCATTTATTTAGTTAATTGTTGATAAAGCAAAAATGGCATTTAAAAAGAACATGATGTAGTAGTATTTATTAGAA